GCTGAATATTGCAGGTCTGTGGGCATATGCTGAAAATGATCAATCAGCCCCATAAGGGAGAGCTCTTCCACCTCAGTCCTGGAGTAAAACACAAAAGTATCTGCCCACATTCATAAAATCGAGGGAGGTCCCTAATTCCACAATAGCCTATAGGACTTCAGATTCATGTAGGAACCTGTCAGAGGGAAGACGCATGTTTATGAATGAATAAGCTGCTGCTCTGCCAGAGTTCAGTGTAGTCTGTATAGCAAACGGATAACTAAGGAGTTCTGGGTGATGTGGAAATGTTGTTACTGTTGTTGTTGTTTTTAATCATGTTGTGTGCGTTTTTACGCATTTCCTGTTTATAGATACATCTAAAAAAGCTTTAATAAACTTTAAGGCAACAGATATTTTGTCAAAATGGCATATTTGTGGTATTTGAGCTATGTATAGTGGCTATATGAAAGTCTATCCATTCCCAACTGTTTGGCTATACAAGCTGATTGACAGATTTAGATGTTCAGATATTACGCGGCCTCAGAGATGGGTATCCGGCTTATTGATAATGGTGAATGCCAGCGGGCATTAGAACAGCAAGCGGCCATCTGCCAGCCTAGCGAACAAGCAACCCCACCAGCTGCAGTCGCAAAACGCCCTACAAAGCAGGACATGCATGCAGCTTCTGACGTCTGCGGCCACACTGCGCTACAAAGCCCAGAAAAACCAGGAGCGGAAACAATGAGAATCAAGCTTATAGACGCCGCATAGGTCCACGACCAGCAAGTTTTTGGGAAGAGGCTGCCTTTAAGTGCACATCAGTTCATTTCGTATGACCGGTTTGTATGATTATTTTTCCACATGAAAAAATATACATAAAAAGACTCATGCAGGGGCACTTGAATACCCCGACATGGCGACGGCAAGAAAAAGGAGAGAGCTTTTTACTATTTTGGAAACTAGCGCGGACACAGAAAGTACCACGGCGTGCGACAGTCAAGACTCTCCTCTTAATCTTTCAGCCGATGTGAAGTGGTTTGAAATTCCTTACAGAAAGCCAGACTCGGACGAGGAAGACGAAGTGCGGGAGGAGGAGGACGGCGAGGGGGAGAATGGATTCACGAGCACAGCAGCCGCGGTGGAGACTGCAGACGCGGCCAGCTTCATCGCAGGAGGAGGCTGCAACATAATACTGGTCACTGGCAGTAATGGGATCATGCACGACGAGGAGGAGTACGCAGAGGACTGTTATTACTCTACCTCCACTAACTGCTCTGATACGACCTCAAACGATTCGGATATTGATTTCTCCGATTTGGAGGAGGAGGAGCGCAGGAGTTTTTTCAGCTTTGAAGATGACTTGGACGAGGACTGCACTTCTCCCGACTTCTGGGGTGAACCTGACCAGGTAATTTCAATCGAGCCGTTCTCTGCTGTTAGCGGCCCTCAGCAGTCATTGGGGGACGATGCTGACACCCGTGACTATTTCCGGATACTCTTCCCAGATTCTCTTTTTGAACACATGGTAGAACAAACAAACAATTACGCCCTCTATCGGCAAAGAAGGAGCGGAAAGTCAGACCCTCACTGGCACCCCACTGATGTCAGAGAGATGAAAGCTTACATAGGGCTGAACATTCTTATGGGCATCAATCAGCTTCCAGACACCGGCATGTATTGGGCCAGTGACATTTTCATAGGCAATGCAGGCTTTAAAAAAACAATGACAGCACGACGCTTTGAAAAACTCACCCAGTATCTCCAGCTGTGTGACCGTGAGTCAGAGCCTGTGCGTGGGGAGCGTGGATATGATGGCCTCTTCAAAATCAGGCCTCTCCTTGATGTGGTGGAGAACACCATGTGGGATGCATACATGCCCAATCGCTGTTTGACCATAGACAAGTGTGCCATTGTCACAAAGGGACGTTATTCTTCTACTCAGTACATGCCCTCCAAGCCCCTGAGGAAGGGGCTGACAGTGTGGATGCTGTGTGACTCACGCTCAGGCTACTGTCACCGTGCCAAGATCTACGTAGGCAAACCCAGTGAGGACGAGGCAGCAGCCTGCCTGGGCTACAGGGTAGTAACCTCCCTAGTGCGTGGCCTTGAGGGTCAGTACCACCATCTCTTCATGGACAGCTTCTTCACCTCAGTGCCCCTCCTCCAAAGGCTGCTGAGGAATGGACTTTATGCGTGCGGGCCCACCCAACCGGGACGCAAAGGTTACCCAGAGGTCCTCCGCCCACGTAATGTTGGAAAGCTGTCCCAGGGTGAGTTCTACCAGTGCCAGCATGGCAACCTGGTTGCTACGGTGACACGAGATGTCAAGGTGGTTAGCTGTCTCTCGACTAATTCCGCTCCAGGGATCGTGGGTATCAGTCCAGGCCGCCAGCAACGTGAGACAGATGGTGAGGGGGAGAGTGACAGCATGGACAACGCGGGTTTGTCTTTTGGTGTACCTCGACCTCTGCCCTTGCTGTTGTACCAGGAGAACATGAGGGGCGTGGACTTGTGCGACCAGCTGAGGGAATGCTACCAGGTTGGCAGGCCGTGTAAAAAGTGGTGGCGCTACTTCCTGTGGTTCTATGTTAATTTGTGCATTGTCAATGCCTACATCATCTTGAGGGAGAGCAGAGGAGGCACGCCGCCAGCAGGCTTCAATGGCAAGCAGTTCACCCAGCGCCACTTCCGGGTGCGCTTGGCACAGCAGCTGATTGGAGACTACCAAGGGGCAAGGGGCATGGAGAGGGCAGCACGCAAGAGGCATGCAGATTCACCCATAGAGTACGGACACCGCCTGGAGCGCATGTCGGAGCGCTCTCGTCGCTGCAGGAACTGCACCAACAAGGGACTGCGACATGAAAGTGTGTTTGGCTGCAAGATATGCAATGTCCACCTATGCAGGGGAGGCTGCTTCTCGGAGTTTCATAAATAAAATCAAACTGTTTTTTTTTTATCCTTTGTGTAATCAAAACATGTGTCAAGGGATTTTTTTAAAACAGTAAAACAATTTGTAATTCCAAAGGTTACCAAAACAGGCGCACAGTATAGTCACACACTTTATGTAGGGCTAGTTTTAGGATAGAAGTATTATTGCACGTAAAACAGAGAAATTAAAGCAACTGTAGATCATTTGAATTAGTGTAGAATGTTTTGGCACCTTGCCTTCTGTAACACTGACAGAATTGCCTTGTGTCACTTTTTTATACATTTAAAATATGTTATGGATTTTATATTAAAAAGAAGAAATCAAAACTTTTCTGCACTTATAATAGATCAGAAAATGTTTACTATGGGAAGTTTATCTGTTCTTTTCCAAAATAAAAACTTCACTATGATGAACTTAAGTGAATCACCTCTTTCATTGTGTGGTATTAAGCATGGACAGCATCTTCCAGACTTAATATTAATGAGAAATACAATGTTAAACGAATCTGAGGATTAAATGAATTTAGGCCGGTTTAAAATAGGTTCAGCTTTTTTTTTGTTGTTGTTTCAAATCTGTGTGTCTCTGGGCCTTTCTCAAGGGGACCCAGCTTGTAGCAATTAGAGAGTAAAAAGGCCCTCAGTACTCTACAGCCAACGGACCTAGTGATGCCATTTCTTTCTCCAACCGCACTACAGACAGAGCCATCTGTGGCCTGATTACATTGAGTCCAAACCCAAAAAGTGGTACTTGTCCCTGACATGATTGGAAAATGTAAAAAAAAAAAAAAAAAAATTCAGTAAAACACTTTTTTGGTAAGTGAATTTTTATGACAGATGGTTAGAGTGAGCTGAAAGGGCGAGGACTCTGATTTGCTTTGTGTATCAGCATGTAAACAATTAGTTAAATGAGGGCCTGCTGTCCCAAGAGGGGAGTACAACTGATATAAGAGATAACTTAAACAATCTGTTGTATATTGTCATCATTGCTTTCTGCCCACTCTGCTATAAGACTGTCAAGCTCAAGGCTGAATGTAGGCAGAGATAGGCAGCTTCAGTATGTCAGACTAGCTGTCTCCTTCTGAGGTGCCTCCCCTTCCTCTCTCTTGCTCTCTTAGTATACTCTCTCTTTCTCTCCCCCTCAGGATCTGCTGTGCCATCCTGCACATACACACATACACACCTTCCTTTCCCCTTCACTCAGCTCTCTTGCTCTCCCTCAGACGCTCCCCAGCTGGGAGAGGGTTAGTCAACTGGACGCCCATCCCGCTGATCTGTGGGAGCCCCGTGGGGAGTTACCATGGCAACTGTGGCGGATGAAGACAGGGAGTCGCCGGCAGGCCTGCATGGTTGTCATGGTGCTGGCTCTGGCTACGGAGGTGGGAGGTGCCAGAGGCCACACCTCCCTACCCCTTCTCCAACTCCAAAATCAGGCAAGGCTATGGTGTGTGTTTATGTGTGTGTGTGTGTGTGTAGGGAGCTGGCTGGCTGACAGCCTGCACACTGTACATGGAGCCAGACTGGTTACTAGGCAAGCTCTGCTACAGCACAGCCAAGACCAGGACTGCTGCCAAAAATGAACCAAACTGCAGCTCTGGAGACGTCTTCATGCAGGTGTAGGATTCAAGGATTAGAGGAGTTTGTCATACTGTGATCTGCATCACACAAAATCACACTGAATAACACGAGCCACACTGCCTGCTGCTTTGCAGATATCTTCATGCAGCTGTAGGAGGATGGATTCACTAATCTGTGCTGTGTTTTATACAAACGTGCAGCATTTAGACCCTGTATTTTTCATTTGCCCAACATTTGCATAGTTATGTCGGTGGTTGTCAGTCTTCTTCTGCCAATACAGTAATTATGCTGTTAGTTATTACAGCCAGGCCTACACATAGTAATTCATACAGTACAAGCTCTTTAAGTCATTTTTGATATTGAATTACATTTGGTGTGTTTCCACTTATATATTCATACATTCTCCAGCTGACTTAAGTGACACATGATGACAAGTCAGTTGTAGCACATGTGAAAAATGAGTTTAATTTTTCAATTCTCACAACAGCAGTGCAGATGAAGATGACATGCACACCAGACAAGTGGAATTTGAAGCCATTGTTTGTCACTCTGTGCTTTTATATTATTAATGCTGATGGTAGAACATCGTTGAATCACACTTTCAAATTTGTTGAGTCACAACCAAACACCTCTCTCTCTCTTTCTCTCTCTCTCAGGGTAGGTGGGTATATGTCGTGTCACGATAGCTAGATCTAATATTTCCAGGATGGATCCCAACCGTAAAATTCTCGGCTCACTCTCAACACGTTTCCCCTCCTGGACAGGGAAGGATCTCTGAGTCTCTGGGCCTGGTTTCACTTAAGAACCGCTGGCTGGGCAACACATGTCCTGTTAGATTCATGAATGTGCCTTTGTTTAGTAATTTCCTCCATTGCAAAATTAATCAGTAGACAAAGAGGAGTGTGAGAACCCGCTGGCCTCTAATTCTCAGCTCTTACTGGTTCCTTGTTTGTGTGATGTTCATTCCCAGTAGTCATGATTGTTAGGAGATGATGAACGACCTCTCATATAGTAGTTGTTCTTTACCTTACCTTTTCTATTTGATGCTAATTTAAACTTCTATGCTTGTGCTGTAGATTTAGGTTTACTTACAAATGCATGGTTCAAGATTGAACAGTGGTGCACAGCCTTTTTGACTGGTGGCCATTTTCATTTGCATTCATATAAAAAATCTAATGATGTAATAAATGATGATATGTCATTCATAGGAGCCAGTTTACAAAAATGAGTACTTACTGTAGCTGATAATTCTTTTGCACTTGACTCTAAATTCCCCGTCAGTGGGAATGTGAGCATCTCTGTTTGTCAGCCCTGTGATAGAAGATGTATACTGCCTCTTCCCACCTGGGTCCCCCTGTGACTGTCAAGGATAAGTGGAAATAACTAATAAATGGGTTGATGGGACATATGTACTTTTATTTAAGTAAGATTTTAAATGCAGGGCCTGGAGTACTTTTACATAATGTTTTTTAACTTAAATTAAGGCTGTGAGTATTTGGATTTAAGCACCCACGCTACAGTACAACCAGTCAACTGTTACTGGTAAGCTACTTAGTGACTCATATCTCCATCTAGTGGACATCAGGATATTCAATTAACAAACTGTCAAACACTTGAGGTAGTTTAAATTACCACAAGAAACAACATACTATGTTGAAGAAAGTTATTCTGTGTTGTCACTTTATACATACAGTATCCATAACACTATCTCTTGATCTAACACGTCCTTTTAACCAGGAAGCTGTCTAAACCAAATAGATCTCCTCGGTTTTTGTTGATGTGGTTTCGGTGAACCTGACAGGATGACCAGAGGAAGTCTGATCTCTGGGTCTCTGGCCAGTGTGCCATCAAGAGTGACCTGTAATCAAAGAAACGCAGCTTTTAATACTGTTGGATCATCTATACTAAATATAGGTGACCCACAATAATGTTAATTACTTCATTTTATATAAATTCCACATTAATTCCATATGGTACATTTTAGATGTCTCAAAATCTTTCCACTTTAAATAGTACAGTATGGTTATTTTGCTCTGTCTCTTTCATGACACCAGAGTTTGCTGAAAAGTGCTGACCTAGACCTTTTTGAGCTGATAGTATCGCAGAACAGGTTGAGCTGTTATATGACACTTTTCCCACAAGCCTCATCCTTGTCAGCAGATCACACACACATGCTTTTACAACCAATTTATAACCAAGCAAAGTGTCTTTTTCAAAATGCTAATCATCAGTGACATCTTAAAGTCAACATTAGAGTAGTTTCTCACTTTGCATCAACTTTCATCAGTTTATGAAGTACAACTGAACTGAACCTATATGAACATTCGCATTGCTTCATATTATGTTAAGATATAATCCAAGAACAAAGTCAGCCAAGGAGACATTTATTAACAGTGAACTAATCCCATTATAAGTCACATTGTAAGTACCTTGAGCATGTATTCGTTCTTCATCAGGCTGCAGTTGAAGAAGGTAGGTGGGAGATATGGAGGGATACTCAGAACCTTGGTGACAGTCTGACTGGTCTCAGCTGGAACAGGGTCTCCTGTCCCGAAGAGGATGTCATTTGTGTGAACTATCCTCTTTGTCTGGTTAACAAAGGTCTGCTTCTCACACAGGTAGAATTTGGGTGCTACCGTGCGTGCAGAGTTGTTGAGTATTTCCACAGAGACTCCCATTGCCTCGCCTGTTTATATTTAGGAGAAAATGTCAGTAATGTTTCAGCTAAGGGCATTCAAAATAAAAAAAATATTAAGTCTTTGTGAAATCAGTTTACCTTGTTTCACTCCCATTTTTTCAGAGGTAACATTCATAGTGACCTTTCCAGGGCCATAAAATGAAATCCTGGTCGCACACTGTTGTTCCTACAAAATAAACATAAGATGTCAGGAAGTTAAATCTTTAAAAGGCATTAGCTGCATAGTTGCCTATTATAATGTTTTATAGTTGATCATTAAAGCATCATTACAAACTTAACTGAACACAAGTGGCAAATGGAAAGTAAACAAATAAACTAATTAAAGTTTAAGGTTGAAGCAATTCCGAACCTTAAGTCCGATGATTATCATTTCTGATTTGGAGGCAAAAGGAAACTCAGACTTGGTCAGGAAAGGGAACTTGGTCTTTGTTTTGTGAACAAGCCATATTGACCGAGTTAGCTGTGCTCGCAGACTGTATGTAATCTTGCCCCATTTCCCCTCATAAGATGAAGGCATATCTCTGCGAGGAAATAATCCAGATAAATAAGGAAAATTATTGTATTTTACCAACAGGTAAAGGAGTGTTTCTGATAAATATGAATTCCATTTGAAAGGTTTAGGTTAAATTAGCATGCTCACATATTGGGAATCACAAAGGTGAATGGATACACATTTCTCCCAGGGCGGATGATTTCGGAACCTTATAAAAAAGAAACATTTTTATGTAAAATGTACAGTCATCAATTTGTACACAGAATATAAAATGTTCATTAAGTCTGAAGCTTTAAACTATTTTTTGGCACGAGAGAGAGACCATACTAACCATCCCCTTTGTTTTTGTCCTGAAGAATAATATGTTGAAAATAAAAATATTTCTTCTTGTCGCTCTGAACTACCACGGCTTGTCCTTCTTGTTCATACCACGTCACCTTAGCTTTTCCTTTGGCTTTGACCAAAAGACACTGCACTTTGATTTCCTTGCTGGTCACCACCGTCACTTTTCCAGAGAGAATATCCCCAGGAAAGAAGGTTCCTCGTTCATTAACCTTGTTGTACTCCACCAAGAAATGCTTTACAGTCATAACTACATCAGATAATATTCCCAAAGACTGTATAATGAAGACATCAGGACAATTCTCCTATGGCCATATTGAAGTGGGGCCTTTGGTCAATGATACACGCTGTGGCGATCGATTTCTCCAGAACCTGTATCTGTATCACACATAATCACGTGATGAAGAGCTGCAGGTGTCACGTTCACATAGGTGACTCTAGCGAGCAGCCCAGTAGACTAAATTAGGTTGAATAAATTGACACTGACATTACGGATGTACTCACATACTATGACAAAATTTTGTTAATGTGCTGTATTTGGTGTTCCTCAGTGAATACCAGTGGTGGAAGAAGTACTCAGATCCCTTACTTAAATAAAAGTAGCAATAAAACAGTGTAAGAATACTCTGTTAGAAGTTAAATCCTGCTTTCAAAATGTAAAAAAAAAGTAAAATTACAAAAGTATTAGCATCAAAACATACCAAAAGTACTAATAGTATTGTGTACATCACATTTAATGTTGTAGCTCATAAATGGGAAGCTAGTTTTCACTACCTTATATGTTTTTCATTTGAATCATTGCTGGGTAGCTTGTGAAATTCCCATCAGTGATCATTAAAGTCTTATGACCATAATCTGATTTTGAAAAATAAGTAGTAAGTAACTAAAGTTATCAAATAAATGTAGTGGTGTAAAAAGTATGATATTTTCCTCTAAAATGAAGTTGAAGTATGAACTAACACACAATGAAAATACTCAAGTAAAGTACAGATACCTCAAAATTGTACTTACATATAGTACATGAGTAAATGTACTGAGTTACTTTTCACCACTGGTGAATACTATTGAAAAGAATGTCAAAACTACAGAACAACATTGCCTTTGCCTTTGTACCTTGTGTATTTACAGCATCAGGTTCTAGAATTACTTTGACATTGTGTTTTCTTTTGCTAACAGGAACAAACTCATCCATCCACCATGATCTATACTCCTTATGCTGGAGAGGGTTTGGGTGGACTGGAGCCACTCCCAGCCAAAGAGGCAGTACATCCTGGTCAGGTCGCCAGTTTGTCAGAGAGAAACCGGAGCTAATGAATCTAATTGGTAGCAGCTATAGAGCTCGCTAGGAGACGCAGAGGGCATATGACATTACAAAGTAACATTAAAGTGTCTCTAAGAAAATATCTATTATAAAATAAAATGTTTTCTAAACTTTAATTAAAATAAAAATTAATAGGCTTTTAAAATAAAAGCAATAGCATTTCAGAAATATCTTATTTTTTTCTAAATGTATTGGTCCATTTATATAGTTTACACTATTCTTTAATTGTAGTTCATACTTATTTCATATTGAACACTTTTAGCTCCATAAACAGTGTATTCAGTTATGTACAACTGTAGCACACTTCAGTAAGGACTGTGATTTATGTGCTTTTGCTTTACTCTGTAAAAATACAGATATAAAAGCACATTGTTAACACATTGCTGTCCAGCATTCTGTCTCAGCCCAACAAAAGACATATTAGATCAAACTTTAGCCTTCCAATAAACTAAACAAACTATAAGGAGTTTAAGAACTATCTGTCCTCACACAAAGATGACAGTTATATACTACAATATACTTTTTCATAAACATTACATATATACAACACTTATGCAATAGTAGTAATTTCTTATCTTAGCCTTGTATCTCTTACTGCCAGGAAGCAGCTGTGATGTAGTGCTTAAAGCATCATGTTTAGCATTAAAAATCCAACATACAGCTGATTTTACACATTTACAGTTCTGTGTACATGTCCCGGGGAGTACCACTGCTACCACCTAATCAGTCTCCAAGTCCCCCTGTTGCACTGTGGGTAATTCAGTCCTCTAGTTGCTTTTAACACTCTCCATCATAAAAAGCCAAATCAATGTTAACCCCAGTTTTGGCACTTTTTTGTAACAGTGTGCAAAAGAAAGCAGGCTCTTCTGTTTGACAGCCATTGTTTCAAAGACAGTCTGACGAGACATCCCTCATGGCTGGCTGTTCAACTACTCACTTTGAAAAACACTTCTTATAACCTTTGCTATACAGTAAGTGGCAGGCAGGGCACATTTACAGACTGCATTTTGACAGCATAGAGAAGAGAAGCTGGATTAACAAACTGTCATTGAAGTGTAGCTAAAAAAAACAACATTCTCTCCCATTTTTTCTTCGTTCATCAGACAACGTGTAAAATCTCAGTTAATGCACCTTTAAGGAAAGTATTTACAGTGCAGTCCTATGTTTGCCAGAATCAGGAAAGGAGGGATACAGTGAATACGCTTCATATGGAGGTGGGGGATTCACAGGTTGGAATGCTGCTTGTTGTGGTGTGATGCTCCAGGTCGGTTGTAATGGGTTCCCAAATGCTTCAAATCCTAAGCCAGTGGAAGTGGGTGGATTTGGTAGGTCAGGTAAGACAACTATAGGGAGTTTGATCTTGGGGTCTGAAGCACATTTGATATCCAGATGGACCTGTGAAAAAACCCACAGTGGTGTTTTTCTTATTATTTTTTCTTAAAATCTCCTGATAAATGTTGACAGTAATAAATGGAAAAGGTTTTTGTATCAGTCTAGCTGAAGTCAGTGGGCCTTAGATTTCCTTTTTCTTTGTTTGGTCACTAGAGGTCCCCTCTGGTTTACCATAGGTCTTTTGTGCTAACAGTTTTCTCTGTTGCTAATATTTGTGTGTGAGCTGCCTTTAATTAAGGAATTTGAGGCTCTTTCAGTATTTGCTAGGTCATTTTTTAAACACTCAATTAGGAAAATCCTCCCTTTGCCCTTTTGCATATGTTATATCATGGCATAGCAAATTACAAAAAAAAAAGGATTTGTTTACAATGTCTGTATTTTATCTTTATATCACCACTAATTGAAATAAGAAGCATAAAATAAAACTGCTAATTAAAAGTAAACATTCAAGTCCTAACCACACAAAACGTTAATCAGGATTACTTCCTGCAATCTACCGACCACAGTGTCATGCAGTTTACCTTCAGCCTGTACTCCAGCCTGATGATGGAGCAGTTCAAGATGGAGGGAGGTAGTTCTCTGGGGATGGTGATCACCTTGGTCACAGTCACTTTGCCAGAGGAGGCAACTGCCTCAATCTTCTCCTTAAGGATCTCATTTGTCAAAAGTTTCCTGTGACCCTGGGCAAAGAAACTTCTCTTCTCGTACAGTATGAATTTGGGCTTCACTGAACGAGTTGAGTTGTTGCTGATTTTAAGTATGACATGGAGCTGTTCCCCTGTAAAATGGAGCAAAGAAAGCTAGTTACTTTCCAAAGAGTAGAATCACATCTTTATAGTTGGCAATATTCTGTATGCAAAGGGAGAGCTATTGTGTAATGCACATCAGATCGACCTGTGGCCAAGGTAACTCAATCAACAGCCAACTATTACTAAAGACAAAAACAGACATTCAAAAAGTAACTCAAGACCGGTTTTGCGAGGCAGTGTTTGAGTTTGAGTTTTGCTTAGTGTGTAACCACCCTGCAGTGACAGAATGATGCTGCAGGTCTTAGTGAGCGTGAGTTCACTGCCAAACTAGCTTTGAGGTCATTTAAAAACACTTTTAGAGTAATATATTTTCTTACATCTTCTCAAAATCTCAAAATTAAAAAACAATTTAAAGGACAAAAATAGCTTGCATATGTTTAAATTACTATCAAGCAGTTATAACATCCCAGATCAGATAACTCCCAGATCTTGGTATCACTCTCAAAAATCCAGTATCGGCTATAGGAAATGTCAGAGCAAAAGTTAAAACAGTCTTATCAAAGCAGCTAAAACATGTTATAAATAATTAACACCACACTGTAAAATACAGTTTCATGACATTAAATCTGTAATATTCATGGTTTCCTGATGGGAGCAGTAAGGAGGTTGTAATTGTAAAGAGTTTGCAATTGATGTTTCTCTGATGAAACATAGTGAGCAGCAAAAACTCTTCTGTACTTGCTCTTCAAAATAAATGTGTGTGAATGAAGGTGTGTCCAGTTAGTGAACAAAGAAAGGCAGTGAAACACAAACCACCAGGTGCAGGATTACCCGTACCACAGTAGATTAGTACCTGGCTTGTATCCCATTTTCTTGGTGTAAACATCCATTGAAACAGTTCCAGAGCCAAAAAGTTTGACAGTTTTATCCTTGCAGCCGTACTGAGGTTCCTGAAAGAACAGTCCCTGATCCCATTTTCTTGGTGTAAACATCCATCGAAACAGTTCCAGAGCCAAAACGTTTGAGAGTATAATCCATGAGGCCATACAGAGCTTCCTGAAAGAACAGTTTAAGTTCACCTTAAACTTTGGCACATATAGTTGCTTAGACAACATTTTTTACATGATTACATTGTTGCATTTTCAAAGCTGTGTGATTTCTTACCGTAAGTACAGGGATAGTCATATCTGCTCTAGACACAAATGTGAAGTGGGCTTTGGTCTTTTTTGTCAACTTTAGTGATTGTTTCAGCTCTGCCCTCACTTTATGAACAATTTTTCCTACTGCGCCTTTGAAAGATGATGGGATTTTTCTGTGAAATATAACAATAAAAAAATTGTATGACTTGAAAAGAAGAAAACATCAATCTAAAATAAAGATTAAGTAAGAAATATGCACCTGTCAGGAATGCTGAAGGAGAAAGGAAATACATGTGTTCCTTGACCAACAACTTCAGTGCCTGGGAAAAATAAATAGTTATTATATGTCTTAAGCATATTATCTTTAAACTCTACTACCAGACATATTATCATACAGTTTAGTGCATAGATTAGTGGGTAGATTGTATTGCATATCAATTATTGCCTTAATACCTTACCATCTTGTCTTGTTTCTCTCAAGATATGATGTTTGACCTCATAATATTTCTCATCGGCCCAGTAAACATGGTGGTGATTTTCCCCATAATGTTCATGCCAGCAAACCCGAGCTTTTCCTGTTGCTGTAAAAATAAGCGACTGGACTTTTGTTTGTTTAGAAACCTCCACAATGATTCGTCCGTTCATGGTATCTCCATTTGTGAAGGTGTTTTTGCTATTGATGGCATCATATTCAATTAAAAATTTCTTGATTGTCATTTCCACAGAAAAAACTTGAGTAGAAAATTAAAATCTCCGGTGAAACCAATAAGAAACTCAGGCCCTTTAAACCATGCACAGCTGCTCACCACTGTTTATATCAGAGCACAAGCACACAAATCTTGTCAAACCTGTTATTCTTGTATGCCTACCTTACAGGCATGAGCCACACACTCATGTGTAATGACTGATAAAAGCATTCATCAATGTATACCAGTTTACTAAAAATTTAAACACAATTGTAGTTTAAATTTGCAACTGGATGGCAATACTCAAAGCAATGTACACAGTGCTGTTGAGAAGGAGCATGCCACTTCAGTGGGTGAAAAGTATCACCTTTTATTCTGGTTTTATAACACATGCTGCTCAGTGTGTCACATGACCTATTTTTCAATCACATTAAACAAATTGCCATTTACTGCAGGCTTGCATATTGTATGTGTTATTTTATATAATGGCAGTCAGTCCAGAGAAGGTCATGGCATAGTTAAACAATAAAAATGCAATAGCTAAGAACTAGAATATTCAGAAATGATATATAGTAAATGACTAGAAGAAATATTATTTTCAATATTTTGAGCATCACATGAAATCCCACTTTCATTCGGGTAGCAGCATAAATACCACTGCCACATACTGTATCTTAAATCTCATAAAATGAAACCAAAACTGTCTGGATACCTGGAGAGAACTAATGCTAGATAGGAAAATTTCTTGTTTTTTGGACAAACCCCACAAAGGGACAACTTCAGTCTGTCTCTGATTTTGCAGGCTGATAGTAAGTCCTGAAATTGCCCTGCAATTAGTTTTGATGTCTCACCGATTTCCTACTTCTGATTTTGTACCAGACAATTTTAGCATGTTAAAGTTGGCATAATAAATTAAGTAGACCGACCTTAATTCATATTAAGGTGCAGTATGTGGGCAATATTTTTAGAGCTAAAGCAGGACTGTGGTGCAAATTTTTAAATCACTGGTAATATAAATGCAAACAAAACCAAACGTTTCTTATCTTCCCTTATTTCTTAGTAACATACAGTAAGTGAACTGGCAGTAGCCAGTGATGAGAACATAAGAGAAACATTTACATATTATTCAATTCAATTTTAGTTGTATAGTGCCAAATCACAAGAAACGTCATCTCAGCACATACAGTATATACTGGATATATAGAGATATATGTATGTATGTATGTGTGTGTATATGCAGTCACAAGAAAAAGTAATGTCCTGGGTTTCTTTATTGAACACACCCCTTAAGGACATAAACATTTCTAATAAAGTATAAATGTCACCTTTATATGTCTTATCCTAGTGTGTTTTGTTGTCGTTTTGTCCTCACTCTGGGCAGCAATTTGCTTATACACCTTGATCAAAGTAGGTCCCCCCCGACCACCGGGGGAAGAAGATGACAAAATGATGAGAACTGGGGCTACCTTGTATTGTAATGCACACTGGCTGACAAAATATAAAATAAAATAAACACAAAGGTTTGGCTAGAAAAGTCTCAGTTGACTGAGAGGTCTCTCGACTAATGATTTGACTAGTCGACTTTCAGGGAGCCACCCTCATCCTGACAAAATGTAGCATTAATGACAGTGACATACAGTCCTATAAGTCAATTTGATAAATGCAGTCACTATAACTCCCTTTTCTCATTTCCTTTCCTTGAAGCATCCAACTCTCTTCACAGCCCTGTAACTAATATTTAGTATCAAAATCTGTCAAAGGAGGGTACATATTATATGCTCCATAGGCAGGAGGTGGATCAAAAGCTTGGGGTGCCGCTGGTGGCTGTGACGGTACAGTGCCCCAAGCTGGTAGTGGGCCTGGATTCCCAAATGGTTCAAATCCAAAGCCAGAAGCATCAGGTGGTGGTGCCATAGCGGCAACCTGAGAGGCTGGCAGGATCACTATGTGGAATTTGACCTCTGGGTCTGAAGAATATTTGACATCAAGGTAGACCTGTGGAAAACAGTTAATGTTATATTGTTGCATCTTTTTTTGATTTATATTTCCAGAAAAAATTGAGTATACATATTAGGAAACATCTTTAATTTGTAACAATGGGACTAGGTTAGTGCAAGTACTTTTCAGTCAATCTTCGACAGACCAACTTCTCTCTCAAACATAAGGTTATGCTGGGTTTGGACTGAGAATATAATGTGTTTAAAAATACAATATATTACATGGAAAATTTGAAGTCTTTTCTCTAAAAGATAAACCTATGAATTTACGCGGCCACTATTATTTACATGCTATGTGCATAACTGACACTTTCAGCAAACTCGATGAACAGTGAGAGAGGGCTGGGTTCAGTACCATTCAGTTCCCCAGGATATTAGATTTTAGACATGATAAAGGTACAACTGAAAGCCTATGTAACCCTATGCTATGTAAGCATGTGTTCAGTGTGTAGGGAGCTATAAGACAATAATGCAGACAGAACAATGCCCAGTATCCCTTCATTTTTTATTTTCAATTTTGCTGCAGCCTAATATGGAGATTAAATACTTATAACAACAGGTGAGCGGCGCTACTTATTAATAGGTCCCTACAATTGTCAGTAAATGCTTGTTCAGGAGACATGCTACTTGACGTGCACAGTCTCACATAGCTGTTGCCAGTGTCCAGCTGCTTACCCTGAGTCTGTACTCCACTTTGATAATGTTGCAGTTGAGGATAGAGGGCTCCATATCAGGGGGGATGGTGATGACCTTTGTGACGTTTGCATTTGAAGAAGGAGGGATGGGCTCTCCCACTTCTTTACAGAGGTCATTAGTACTGACTTTTCTCTTTCCTTTTGCAAAGAAGCTGTGCTTTCTGTATACACAGTACTTGGGCTTGATCTCACGAGACGAGTTGTTCTGAATGTAGGCCACAACCTTTAATCCTTCGCCTGTGTCAAAGAGATGACAAACAGACACTGATGTTAAAGTCAAAAGTCCTACTAGGCCCCCAAAATGAAGCAGCCTGAGAAAAGTCATCCTAAAAGTAACAAATCAAACCAAAACCAGCCCAGAGGGGGGAAAAAACAGCTGCAGGACAAATAACAGCACCGAAACAAAGCGCTATAACAGGAGAACCAAACTTATTCATCAACTACACCACGTGCATGTCTCCAGCAACCAGAAAGACATCAACAAAGGAAGACACAAACCAGACAAGAAGTGGTAAAACAACCCCTGTAATGATAATTAGAAATGTCAATAACCCTTTGAGGGTTCTGACCTTGGATGAAACCTGTTTTTTCAAGATTCACATCCATGGCTACTGTTCCTGAGCTGAAAACGTGCATTTTCTTATCCTTGGACTCATGTTGCGGTGTCTGAAAAAAGACCAGATTGATTAAATCAGTACATGTAAACAATGAAAAAAACAACAACAAAAAACATATTAGCTTTTATTATGGGGTCTCAAGTATCTGGTGTCAACACAACAACAGCTGTGCTAATTAAGCCAATTCAG